GAACTGCTTGATATCCATCATTTCCTGTTCGGAATAAAGTGACTTCATGAGCAGTTATGTAAGTCAGAAACTGAACCCCCGTTCAGATGTCATCAACAAAATCCGCATAGTGTACAGACGTTAAGAGAAACTAATTTTTACTACTACAATAAAAATACGAGGCTACCGTAGAAAGTTCAGGATATTCTCTGTAGTGCGGAAAGGATGCCCACCCATTCGGCAGTTCCTTGAAGGTGGCGTGCATTCCCCACACTGCAGCACAACACTGGGGATAGGAGGTGTGGAGGGACAGTGCCCGCGCTGCGCAGTCCCGTTAGGTCCATGATTACTGACGACTAAATGTCAGTGGAAATGCCTAGCCGCTTCTCATCGTAATAAAATGCTAACTTCATAACCTAAACTATTTTTGTGCATTTTGGATGAAATGTGTATAATTAGTAATGTGAAAACACAAACCTCAGCGAGTGCTGGAAGGGTGTGAACACAAACCTGCCGAAGGCTTATTACGCAACAGTCTCTAAACCTGCCCTTGGAAACTCTTCCACCTACACCGGGCTTCGTTTCCTTACCCGCCCCACCAGCTCCTGTAGGTCAAGGCCTGGCCACGCCGCCAAGCAGCCACGCACATAACCTTCCACTGTTTTCCGACAGGAGCTGTGGCCGAGTGGCCCGTGTTACCGCCCCCGGGGCCCTGCAGCCTCCTGAGCCGCCCTCATCTCCGCACACCTGGCCTCCCGCTCCTCAATCGGGACCCTGCAGCGCTCACCGGGGTAAGCGTTGCTTGGTCCTGCTGGAAATCGCGTCCTGCTCCGTGCCCACCTCCCCACTGGATCCGATGCCTCAGTTCCTCATTGCAGCAGGAGATGCCCCTGACCCGTCTCCCGTCTCCCCCCCCCCCCCCCCCCCTTTTCAACATATTATGTCTACACACCACCTCGGCTCGGAAGCAAATGCAATAACCACGCCAAGGGATGCAAAACAGTCCTGCTGGCTTACACTGCTCACCGCCTAGCCATTTCATCAGTTTTTATTCTAGATTCTCAAGCCCTCAAGCTATCCAGGCCTCCTGCGTTCTTTACCGAGTGAGCACATCTGACTTTAGGAAGGGACAGCGAGCATCGAATGCAGGCACCCGAGGTCCCTTGCTGCCTGGCGCCTGCCTGCTCACCCGCTTCCTCCCTCTTGATCGCAGAGTACGCCCTCCTCGCCCTCCTCGCCCTCCTCTGTAGGGCAGCGCAACCGAACTGTGGCCCTGTCGGGTCTGTAGTCACCCTCCCACTGCATCCTCTCCCTTCTCTCTCTGCACACAAAGGCCTTCCTGCTGTCACACCTGTTAGGTGGTTTATTCCTCTATGTCCTTGTTCCTCCTGCCCAGATAGTTCACTGCCTTCCTTCTCCTCCCAGCAATCAGGCCATCGATGGAGGTTCTTTCTGAGCTCTTTATCCTTAATCTGTCCCTACTCTTACTGAAAGTCTCTCTTCAGTATTCTTATCCCTTAACTCCCTTTCACCTTAGCCAAAACCTAAATGTTTCTTTCCTCATGACATTCTCTCATAATTCCTCAGAGGTAACAATGTTTCTTTTTTCTTTTTTGGGGGGGCGGGCAGAACTGGGGATTGAACTCAGGCCCCTGCACACGCCAGGCAAGCGCTTATTCTACTGAGCTATCTCCCCAGCCCCATAGGTAATAATTTTGATGACTACTATATTCCAAATCTCCATTTACAGGCTTGAGATTCAGAAAGGTATTTACAAAATCCCATTTTGGTATCCTGTTTACCTAACAATGTTACTTCCTCATGTTATTAAAAGCTATTCTTGTACCTACTAAGATGACAGCATCTTCTTAGGCATCTAAGCTGCAAATGGGAAGCCCTTGATACCTCCTTCCCATGCATAGAATTAACCTCTAAATCCTACTGGATTCTGCTCCACCTTGTCTAGGGTATAAATTAGATTACAAGTGATTTCAGTCAAACTTACTGATGGTTCCTTGTTGCCCAGAGAAAAACGCCCTCTGCTGGGCACAACGTACGCGCTTTCTACAGCTGGGAGCCTGACCCTGTGTCTCCTGTCCTATGGCGTCCAGGGCTCAGGACTTGAGCCCCTCTTCTGCATGCCTGCCTCCCAGATCGCCTCACTCTTCCATGTCTCCCTCTCCATCATGACCTCAGTGCCTACAACAACATGAGTCTCCCTCTCAGCCTCTCAGGGTGTATTTCAAAACTGCCAATACAATACTATTATACTCTGCTTGCTGCATAGCTACTTGTATACACAACTTTCTCGCCTATTAAAGTGTATCTTAACTTTTAATATACTACTACTTGGCTCTGAATTATGTAGTGAGTATATATAACAAGGAATTATTGAAAGTTCAACAATTGCATACTCTTTCAATGAAAGTCCTGACAACCTGTTTTGATATTTATTCCTTTATATCCCCAATGTCAAATGTCATTCATCTTGGAAAAAAAAAAAATCACAAGCAGGCAGCTGATGCTTGCTGTCCTCCCCGTGCCACACACTCACCTGCTGGCAGGAGCTGTGCATCATGCCTTCATAGGTTTTAAAGGTTACATTGGCTGGATTTACCAATGTTTTTAGTTTTTCAGCAGTAAGGGAACCAAACATTAGGGGAACTAAAGGGTCGCAGTCTCCATGGCACTGGAGAATAGAAATATCTTTGTTAACACCACTGATAGGACCCTGCAAAAAAACCCAAAAAACAAAAACTAGTATTACTTAGTCGAGTGTATACAGCACTATGCTAAGGACTAAAAACTGTACTTAGACATGAGCATACATATATTACTTATATTTGAGGTTATATTTAGCCAAATAAATAAAATTTTCCCTTCCCTATATTCCCTATATCACTTTATTGAAATGTTTATAAGATATATGACTACTCTGCTTTACATTCATACACAGCTTCCTAATGAATTTGGTTCTTGAAGCCAATTATATCTTAATTCATCTTTATATTTTCCATGTCTTGAGATCAGAGAGAATTTTCAGCATCATGTTTCCTTAGTTTCTATTTTATATAAATAAGAGTTAATTAACACCACTTATTACATATAAGATATCAAGTTATGAAACAGTAACAAGCCTGAACTCCCTGGATTTAAAAATGAATTCAAGGGGCTGGGGATGTCACTCAGCAGCCTGTACAATGCCTGCCTGGCAAGCATGAGATTATGAGTTCAAATCCCAGTACGAAAAAAAGAGAAAGAACTTAGTGCTGGGGTATGGTTCAGCAGTGATAGGTAGATAGGTAGGTAGGTAGGTAGG